TTTTTTGTGTGTGGTGGGGGGGAGGGGGGGGGGGGGGGGGGGGATATGGCTATAACTGTTTGTCGCAAACTCAAGTGATATGAATCGCAGAAAAGCTTGAGTTCATTGAAGCTCCACAGTGAAGCTCTGGCGTTTTCCATAGATCCCTACAAATTGTTTATTTCAGAGCCCAGGCCACTGTGGTTTTCTAATGACTTGTCAGTATGGATCGGCCTACTGTCACTCATTCATTTACTCGAGCAGTGAAGCAGCAGACTATGAAAATCCTTTTGCTCAGGAGGACAGTGAGGATATAAAAATGAACTTTGAGAACTGCAGTCTTCTGAGGACTGTTGCCATACCAACAATCTAATGCTTGACTTAATTCACATAAAAAAAGCCCATGCTCACTAGTTTGTAATGCTGCAGGGGATACAGTAGGTTAAAGGTTTATTTTATATGTTTTGCACTCGTATTTTAAGAGTAAAATATGCATGCATAATCCAACAATCGTTGAGAGATCAATTTAGAGCTCTTTTGTGAGCTCTATCCAAGGTACTGCAGTAGCTATGTCTCTTATATAGATAGATAGAGAGAGAGATAATATTCATGCCGGCCAGGTGCATCATTACCATAAACCTCTACTTAGCCTTCATTCAAACATAATTAATTCAAAGGAAGTATCGGAAAGGCAACAGGTGGGCCACGGTGACGAACAGCTTCCGGCATCTGGAGACCGAGGACAGGCGACGCTGAACGTGACGCACGCTGATGACGCCTGCACAGCAGCACTGGTGTGTTACGTTGACATTTCCCCGGTACACTACACCGGTGAGTGAATCTAATCAGGCTAAGCGAATCAAAACAACTGATATTTAGAAAGCCTTTTCCAGATTCTGCTTAACCTCCGCTTATCGGGAACCGGAAGACAATGGTCATTACTATGTCCAACATAATAACAAAATTCAGTTCAAGTTGAACTTTGCAGCCATGGCGCGCAAAACGAAGACAAAACTGCTTTGGATGGGTTATTAATGTGACCAACTAGTAGACAAATAACACGTTTAAAATCATGCTTTTAAACATTTATCATAAACTTATTTGTCTCTCCAAAGCTAAATGTCCGTTCACTCCGAGACTAATAGCGTCCTACGGACAATAACGCTGTGTTTATTATTATAAGCTTTATCAAAGCTGTGGTGTGGACTTCCCTGTTCTCTTAGAATTAGAATTATTATTAAAACTTTATAGTTATAGTTATCGTCTTTGGTGTGAACGGCCCTTAATTTCACAGTAGCCTAGTTTATATGCTAAATAGACACACTCAAATAATAATTTTCACACTTTTTGCATCTTCTGAAAAAAATAGGCCTACAGATTGATTACGAATAGCCTATTTGATTTTCTTTTGTCGTGTTCTTCACTGACACACTGTTGTTATCCGTTTGCAAAGACTCTATCTGGGGCAAAATTAGTTGTTATGATAGAAATCAAACCTTTAAATCATTTTCACAAAATGAAGTGATTAATGTTTGTTTTACTTTTTGTTTAAATAAGCAGTTTTTTTTAAAGTAACATTTAATATTTTGATGAGTTTTCAGATTTTAAGATTGAAAGTCTGGGATAAATGTAAATAATGTATAGGCTATTAATAAAGTATGTAAATGCATTTAAAAAGTAGCTACAAAAATGAATGGGAAAAAATTACTGACACACTGTTGTTATCCGTTTGCAAAGACTCTATCTGGGGCAAAATTAGTTGTTATGATAGAAATCAAACCTTTAAATCATTTTCACAAAATGAAGTGATTAATGTTTGTTTTACTTTTTGTTTAAATAAGCAGTTTTTTTAAAGTAACATTTAATATTTTGATGAGTTTTCAGATTTTAAGATTGAAAGTCTGGGATAAATGTAAATAATGTATAGGCTATTAATAAAGTATGTAAATGCATTTAAAAAGTAGCTACAAAAATGAATGGGAAAAAATCACTAGTTTTAACGTGACCTTAACAAAAATATACATATGTTATACATAATTACATATATACATATATATGTAGCCTATCAATTTAAATGCATGTTAAACAATGGGAGAATTTTTTACGTTATGGCAGATTTGTCGCCTCTGGCTTGCTTAGTTGGGGACACTTCATTTCCAGCGTTATCGTTGACATAATTGCAAAGATATTATTTAAACTGAGCTGGATGTTGACATCACTGAATTCAATGATGAACTGTCTTTAACTGAAAAATGAGTGTTTACTATTGTCATTTTGCATTATTGACACTATTTTCCTAATTAATGCTGTTCAGTTGCTTTAGGACAAAAAAAGCGCCCAAATCTGAACAAATATCCACATAGCTATGCAGCAAATGTAACGGGACAATACAGGTTGCATAGAGTTGTTGAGATAGTAAGCTCCATAAATCAGGTACACTCTAAAAAATGCTGGGTTAAATACAACCCAGTGCTGGGTAAAATAGGGACAAACCCAGCAATTGGGTTGTTTTTAACCCAGCATTTTTTAGAGTGTAGGACTATATTTTGCTATCTTTTATCTTTCTCTTTTTCTTTTAGCTTCCAAACCACACGCTTTCCAAAGACCCCTGCGAACACCGTGCATAAAGATGCGACAGCAGAGCGCCGTTCAGTGTTTCCTCTCGCCATTTTCAGCTTTCGCCTGATGGGGCCACCCTTGCACCTCTTGGTGTCCCCATCTTTTCTCTCTCTCTCTTTCTCTCTCTCTCCTAAACACACACGCCCGGATGGATGACTTCACTGTTCCGCCCGGGTTTCCTTTATGATCGCGGGTTCTCCTGTATCTTACAGCAGACTTAACCCGACCGCTGATGTAGTCGTACACTCAGCCGCGCACTCTCTCTCTCTCATTCTGCACCGAGCACTCCAGTCCGTTTGGAAGTTGGCAGTGCGAGGAGTCTGACATTTACGCGCGGGGATATCTACGCAAAAAAAAATTAAGAAGTGCACTTGTTTTGCGGGGATAGTTGCCATATCCACCGTAGCTGCCTATCTACATCAGTTCTTTAGCGCCTTCTGAGTCGCGAGCCCGTCCTACAACAGTCATGTCCGAGGTTCTGCCGTACGGAGAGGGGAAGATGAGCGGATACGGAGCGGACAACGATGTCAGTCAGATGTCCTTCAGCTGCGGGCTCCAGGACACCAACTCGTTCTTCGGAGCGTCGCAGGCGAAAAGACCTCCAAAACTTGGACAGATCGGCAGAGCGAAAAGAGGTGAGAATGTTATCCTGATGGACGATAACTTATTGAAGTTAAAGGAATAGAGACTAGCGTTTTCACTCACTTTTTCTTCTGTGCAACACAAAAGGAGATGCTCGGGAGGATGATAGCCTCGGTCACCGTTCACTTTCATTGCGCGGAAGAAAAAAAAATGCAATAAAAGTGAATGGTGACCGAGTCTGTCAGTTCATAATATTTCATAAAAGAAAGCCATGTGGTTTTGGAACACCATAAAGACGAGCAATCATTTAATTTAATTATCCATTCAAATGCATTTTAAACGATTGGAGAATATTTTGAAGTTATGACCGTTTGACATCTGTAAAAATGTCTGACAATATGTCAATAATAGGCTATTTTATCCAACCCGACTGAGGAATGGCCTTGATTTAGGTGCTATTGTTACGCATTTAATGTGCATTTTGATCATTTGAATGCGTTTGGGGTGTGTTGCGTCTTGTTGCGCAGTTTCGAGGCGCACAAACCACACAGTAGACTGCCGAAGTCTTGACATCAGCTGTCTTGTCTTCTTCTTTCCAGTGGTCATCGAGGACGACCGAATAGATGAGGTGCTGACAGGCATGACCGACAAATCATCACCGGGCGTGTAAACCCGCGCGATGCCTTGCAGACATTTCAATTTTTTATCACCGATTCGAAGCACTTGTCGGTTGTGCATGTAAAGAAGATTGCAAAGAGATGGAGGGACGGTGGCACGACGCTCGAACCACGAGGAGACTCAACTAAAAAGGGAAAACGAGAATTAAAGAAAGGAGAGACGGAATTTCCTTTGGGGTTTGCTGGCAATTCTCCGATATAAACGACAACCCGAATGGAAGCTTTGAGGGAGATGTCGAGGATGTTGTTGAGGCTGCGCGCGCTGCGGCTCTGTGAATAAGGATGGATGGACTTGTCATTATTATTCCACGACCATCATCTTCCAAAAGAGCTGTAAGCAACACAAAGTTCAACCGAAGACTGAACTGCATCTTACGCTGTGTTACTATAGATGTACAGTATCTTAGCTCAAAGACCTTCCCCTTAACACACACAACACACACACACACACACACACACACACATGGATCTGCCTTGAGCGTCGACTTCAATCCGACTGCTGCTTTTAGACATTTTAGACTTCACGCACACAAAGACATTGAGCTCCCATAATGATAAATGAGCTATATATACGGATGGTGCAATGTGAATATTTTCTCTCGCTATTTTGCATCATAGAAGATGATCATACACATGCCCACAGGTGTTGAAGAGTGTAGTCTTTAAAGCGTCGTTTGGTGATCTATTGTTTTGCCCTTCACTGCAGCTGATTTGCGCACCTGCGCCACGGATTCACAAGCACAGAGGAACATTGTGCATTACCACCTCTTGTAATTAACCTAATATGAATGCATCTCAATTTCTTCCAAGCCTAAGTTTTATGTATTTTTATGTATTTGTATTTTTTTTCATCAGCTCCTCACATTTCTTTTGTCGTGTCCATCTCTTTGCATGAACTTTCACTCCGGTGCCAACAGAGGTGCCACCATGAATCTTACCCTGGCACGCTTCTTTTTAAAAAAGTCATATTTGTATTTTTATATCTAAATATTTGTTATTTAAAATGATATGCTAGTATGTCGTCTTAAAGGTTCATCAACAATGATGTTTATATTTCAGAGAAAAATCTTTAGACAGGGACGAGAGTATAATTCAGATTGGTTGGAATGTTTTTTTTTAAAGACTTGAATGAATGTTTCTCTGTTTTTTTGCACACACACACACACACATCCGTGTTGAACTACTGTTATATGGAAATCGTAAACTGTGACTTGAGCTTTGTTGATGAATTTGTTAGAAAAATTACGATATTAGAAATCTACTGCACTGAATATCTTCAAATAACTTGTTATTTGACAGGTTTTTGGACATTACGTTTCTTCTGTTGATTTTGTTAGATTTTTTTTGTGCTTTGTTTTGTACCATTATTCTAAAGAAACTGACTATGGTTTGTTGTGCATGAAACCTTAATACTTTTCAGTAACGGAACATCATTTTATTAAGCAAAAAAAGCAACAAAAAATGTCATGACATTCTAAGAATGAATCATTGCATATTATAATACCATTTTCACTGTATTTGGTGAACTAATAAATGGTGGAAGAACATAGATGTGCATTTCTGTTATCATTTGACTGCATTACAAAGAGGTAAGCAAGTCTGGCGCAACTACAGTATTGATTTTGAGGTCATCACAACATATGCACATCCTGCTGGTGAACCCATCTGCATTTAGAGACAGGCCTACTAATAAACAAGGCACAAATACTATCCATCAAATGATGAAACATGTATGGTCACGTTTAAAAATATCCCCAGCCGTTTTAAATGCCAGATCAAGCTGGTGTTGTCTAATGAAAAATTAATGTTTGAATATAATTCATGTCAGAATGATTGTATCTTATCATACTAAGCTCACAGTCATGACAGGGAGATTGTTTTTGAGAGCTTTGAGCTGGGCTTCTACACTTACTTGAAGATCTTCTGCACATCAATATAAAATAGAGATTGGAAGATGGAATTTAGGCCTTGAAATCATTTGACTGTTTCCTTGAAAAGGATAGCACACCCCAAAATTACAAGTCAAGTCACCTTTATTTCTGTAGACCTTTTACAATTAAGATTGTCGAAGCAAATTCACAAAGATAAACAGGAAAATAGCAATAGAATCAATTATGGAAACTTGACTATGGAGATTCAGATTGTGCCGTAAAGCAGCTCTTAAAGACAACAGTTTCATGATTTAGCTCAAGAGAGTTGAGTGTTGGTTCAGTTCAGGTCAAGTTCATCAATTTGAGTTCGGTTCCACTATAAGCAGTTCTACAACAGGCAGCAATATCATTATTCAGTTCGACTCAACAATAGGTTCAATGTTGTAAGATGTGACTCAGAAAATTCAGCCACCATTTAATCACCCTCATGTTGTGCCAAACCTGTATGACTTTCTTCTGTGAAACACAAAGTGTTTTTTGTTTGGTTCATACAATGAAAGTTAGTTGGGTCCAATTTTGTTTGGACCCCAGCAATCTTCAAAATATCTTCTTTTTATGTTCTGCAGAAGAAAGAAGGTCATAACTTTAATCTATGACGTGGCACCTTAAAATAATGCTAGACAAGGAGAAAAATAACAATGTTAGTGGTCATTTTCTTTGACGAGGCTGATCATTTAAGATGAATGATGCTTCCACACAGCTTGGATAAAACCACATGCTGCTTCCTGTTTACAGTGAACACTGAACCATCTGATGCAGTTAGATTTCACAGCAATGTTGACCCTCATGTCATTCCAAACCTGTATGAGTTTCTTCCTTGTGTGCAACTCAAAAGAAGATGCTTATTTATTTATTTGTTGTTCATGAAGAACGTCAATTGGGTCCAATGTAGTTTGAACCCCAATGTATCTTCTTTTTGAAAATATCTTCCTCTCTTCAGGTTTGGACTGACATGATGGTGAGTAAATGATAGCAGAATGTTTATTTTGAGGTGAACGTTCCCTTTAAAAGAAGATGTGGCACCTTAAAATCATGCTAGCCAGTTAACAGACCAGGTAAAAACACACTCAGAATGTTAGTGGTGGTGATTTCAGATTATTTTTCTATCAAGGTTGTTCATTTAAGCTGAATATTGTTTCTACACTGCTTGGATAAAGCCATATGCTATTTCCTGTTTACACCGAACATTTTACAGCAAGATTGATGTTTTTCTTCACACACAGTCAGACACACATCTCCGAAACAATGTGTGCGTTTCAACCGAAAGAGAATCAATGGCTTTTATCCGTGATCTGTGCCATCATGCGCCCATGAGTGACCTTTGGGTCAGCTGTCCGATGTGTGCAATGAGGCTCAGGATCCATCTGGAAACAAGTCAGGCTCACCTAAATCAATTTAAACTCCAATAGTCATCCAATCCTGATAACGTTCTATAACTCCAGTTGACCCAAGCTCAAGTTTGGCCACTAAAATTTCCAAACGATTTTCAAATGATCAATCGCAGTTTAACCTCAGCGTTTACCACAGACTCCCATCATCTGTGCATGTTTATTCTCAAGGCTCGACGAGGTCTTTGCACAGCAGAAAGTCCATCAGACAGTCACTCAAGCACAGTCAAGGACACTCAGCTTCACCATCTCAGTCTATTAATACACCTTCATGACTGTTGCAGTGTTCCTGAACGGCTCCAATGCCCAGGGGAATCCTTACCGCTTCACACAGGCTGCTCAGAGCTGGAGATTACTGATACACTATCTGAACAGACAGGCGGCCCGCGGCAGCTCTGGAGTGACAGAGCGACACTGTGGCCTGACCCAATATGGAAAGCCCAGCTCTCGGCAGATAATGACAGCGTGATAAAGGAAGAAAGAGGGAGAGATGACATTCCAAGATTCTCAAAGAATGAGCACTCTACTGGAAGAAATGAAAAGCGAAAAAGTGACAAAGACATTTTATTTAAATGCATTGTCCTCGATTCATCCCAGCTTGTGGCTCTCGGTTGGTGCTACTGGTGCTACTGACCACCCTCATTAGAGATAATAGCATATATATATTTTTGCTGTCAATCCTCATTTAACGCCACTGTGAGTCAAAGTGTAAGTGTTTGAACTGGCTCGTACAAAATATGCACAGATTCACATTCAGCCACACAGAAATTGATGTCACTGTCATACAGCAAAACCAAATACTCATATTTTGGGCATTTTCCACTTTTAAAAGGCATTGTAGAGATTCAACAGGGATTGATGAGCAAAAGATGATTCGAATGGCATCTGGAAATGTTGCAAACCAGATTCTGGATATACATCCTTGTTGGTTGTAGTACAACATTCCTGTCAACCAATCATGTTTTAGAATTGGGTTTACGGATTGGCTTGGGACTTAACATTCTTATGATCATCCAATCATTTAGCTTTGAGTTTAGGAGTAGCTCACGGAATAGGAATGAGAATGATAATTCAGAATCTGTAGCTCATCATAAAATAACTTTATATGTTGTGCCACTATGCAATTAAAGAGAAACTTGTGAACATCCCAGGAATTACCTGAAATCCCCACTATCCTGAATATACAGCAATTTAATTTGAATTGAATTGGCCACACCACACAGGAAGCTGAATTGGAAATGACAGAAAGAGACATTTATTGGATTGCAAATCAAAGAAATACAACACAGATAATGCATTGTTGGAGTTCCAATTTGGCATTCAACCTTCAAACACAAGTTTGAAGAAATCCAACACAAGCAAACTACAGATTCATTCATCCAAAAAACCAATCCATACATCCATACATCCAAAATCAATTAATCCATCTATTCAAAACCAGACCCAGAACAACATTTGCAAACCAAAAACACATTAAAAGCAAACAAGTTGACTTAAACCAAAAACTACCAAAATTCTTTAAACTAAAGCTATCGACGAATATATCATATTTACCAGATTGAAAAGATGGCACTATTTGACAATATTTAAAATATGTGGCAGTTTTTTACCATATTCTGCATCATGAGAGACTTTTATACAAGCTGTAGTTCAGTGCCAAAATTGATTTTGAGAAAATAATGTAAAGTATAATAAAGTTGTAAATATTACATACTGCAAATATGTAAACATTTATGTTGTGTTATCATTAAATCATACATATATATCAGCATTATATTGCTTACACAGCTCTCTTGAGATCGGCTTGGGCTACTGAAAAAAACCCATATCAGTTTAAAACTACATTACAATTTAATTTAGATTTTTTTGACTCATAACATAACCTTGCACATAATGGAGAGATACTTCACCGAGGAAAACAGAGTTTGGTAAAATGTTTTTATTAAAAGAATGAAATCAATCAGTTAGATTTTGAAGTGCTGCCCTCTACATCAAAAATGTCCCTGCTTTAACCTGATAAGCACTAGTGACCAAACACACACACACACACACACACACACACACACACACCTCTGTCCGTAATGTAGCTTAGTGCAATGTTTACCCTAGTGTTGTCAGCGGAGCTAGCAGGGGTTTATGTGTCTGCTTTCAATACCACGGCCTATGCTGTTGCTGCCACTGCTGGATGATGATGTAATGGTGTGTCCTGACCCCTCCCCCTGCTGAACAACAGCATGCATTTATCCCTGCAGAAACATGAGCTTTGATGAACAGGCGGATCTCAGTCTTTGATAAATGATATTGAAGGGTCAAATGGTCATTTCTGATTATTTTCTTGTGTGCACAGTGACTAATAAAAATAATCTGTCTGTAAACTAGAGACAGGGATGCACCACAGGGGTCAAGATTTGGCAGGTTAGCCTGGTCTGGCTAGCCCCTGCTGGTAGATGTCGTAACTACACCATCTGTACCCAA